AATTTTACTTCTGTCTAACAACTTCCTTATTCTCCGTATAAAAACAAAACATTCAGTATTCGAAGAAGAAAGCAATTCTGGAAACAAACTCTGGATGCAAACTAGAAAAACATAATTTTACACGTTCTTGACAAATTAATAATCTGAAAACGAAATATTGCCATCTTGGAAATAATGACAAAAGGGCTGGTCCAGACGGCTGTTTCAGCTTTGGGCAGACTTCCAAAACCTGATTACATAGTTTATATTTTGGAAACGTTCCCAAGAATCGTGGACTCCTCGTAATTTTTAGATATATATGATATTTTTCATTAAAAGGATGTAATTTCCTCACTTATTATTAACAGCTTAAAATATATGTTATATAGTTTTACTTTTATTACTCACTGACATATTAAGAAAACATTGAAATTATAAGACAGTACAGATGTTTTCGTATGTATTTACAAGAAAAGGATTTTTAAAAATTCTCACGAATTTGAAAAATAACCAATAAATTATACACTTTAAATATTTAATACAATTTAGTAAATTACATACGATTTTGCATGTTTTGACGTTATGTTTATAAATAAAACTTATTCCATAATGATTAATAATCACAGTTGATATGCTACTTAAATCCACCTTGAGACGAATCTCTAGTTAAACTCCCCTTTTCTATCTTGAACGTACCCAATTATTGACCTCTCATGTCAGCTATCACCTAATACTCGTAAACATGACTGTTCAGGTACCGCAATTTCAGACAGAATTTCAGACCAAAAGATTTTCTCTGACATTTCAATGACATGATGAGATCTGTTTCACTTAGGTATAATTTGAATTTTTCGCAATCTTTTAATGTTAAAAATTTACAACCTACAGAAATGTTAACATTTGCCTTTATTAAATATTTAAAACAATTTTTGAGGGGACTTGTCAAACTAGGTAATACTAACTTTACCTGAAAGATCAAACGATGAATCCAACTCAGTTCAGAGGTGTACATAATATCTTCATATGCAAAATACGCACATAAACTGATGCGTGTTGTCTACGAAACTAAAACATGATGCCTCCGCTTTATTAGACACTATTTTATCAACGTAGTAAATGTGAAAGAAAATGCATTAAAAACATGTACATATATTAAAAAGTAAAACCTTCTTATCTTAAAAGTAGCTTTATAAGAAGAACATGTAAATTTTAAAATCTACTCTCTATCTGAAAATCTACTCGAAGTGGCTCTATTTGCAGGTTATCCGTTAGCATCTTTTAGAGTCTGTTTACGTCGGTGCCTTAAGTGAAAATACTTTTCCATTTTTCTCCTAATTCGGATTAGTAGTAGTAGTAGTAGTTATTATTTACACTGCAATTTAATTGTAGTTAAACTACTTAAATGCATAAGTAAGTGTTAATTTTAAATTTAGGAATGGGTAGGCGAGACTTTTTTTATAAATTAATAAATAAAAAAATAGAAAACATTCATGTAACAAGACATATGTAAAATTTTAAAATTGCACAGGGAGCCATGGAGAGAAAATAAAAAAAATATCTGTTGAGGAGCCAAATGACTGATAAGCCAACGGCAATGAGAATTAATAGTCCTAATATTCATTCACAATGACGAAGTTTGGAGATTGAGATAAAAGATGAAAACATCCACCTTCCATTTCAATCTCTCATAATTCTTACTAATATTATAAATATGAAAACGAGTTCGTTTATTTGTTACCATATAGCGTCCTAACAACTTAAGCTCGTGATAGATAGCTGAAATTTTGGTATGTACTATATGAGATGGAATAGGGTATAAACTATTTTTTATTACAGTCAGTGAATAAGTATATTCTGGCCACACGGACGAAGTTGTGGGTAAAATATAGTATAAAATATGAAATTATTATGAAATAATATTTTTTACAGCAAATGGGTCAGGACCGTTCTTTATGTCAGTTTATGGGGGAGGCTTATGTCCAGCAGTAGACGAATAATACCGGAAATGATGATGACGATGAATAATTTATCTATAATAGAATACTGGAATTCGTCTGTAATAGCAATATGAATAATAAAGCATATTTATTTTAAACATTTGTTACATCTTGATACCTTAGTGACTCAATCGTAAATGAAATTGGTATATTCGTAATATATGATGTGACGAAAGTCATAGGTCAATTTTTATGCCAGCTAAACAATATGTCCCAATTTCATAAATACGTTACTGAGATATAAAATAAAATATTGCAATAAATCGAAATACAATAATAGCATGACAATACTAATAAATAGAACTCCATTAAAAAGCAAAAATGATAAATGAAGTAATAATATTTGAGTAAAACAAACCTCGATAACAAAAAGCTTCTGTTCAAACTTTATTATTTCCAAGACCATCGAGTCAGAAATGATAAATAACCTAATTTAGAAACATCGCTTTCAAATACAATATTAGCTGTTAAGCAACTTTGACACTATTTTGCCAGTGAAAATTAAAAATTTTAATTAATTACATTATTGCCGGTACAAATATTTAAGAATAATGTTTAAAACCTCTTTCACAAATAGAACATTTATTCCTTGCCTTGATAAAAATTATGAAGTTTAATCTTTTAAACTTTTTATACTTAAATTGCATATACGGAATATTTAGAAAATCACCGAAAGGTTTATCAGTCTGACTTTATTAGCCGCAAAATAAATAAATAAATTTTCGCAATTTTTAAATTGTAGAAAGCCTTATGTGATGAGGTTTAAAAACAAATTTATTATTCAAATAATTGTTGAAGGAAAACCTTTTTAGCTATTGTAAAGAATTTTAAATGAAAAGTCATTAAACCTTGCTTGCAAGCTTTATATTAGTAAAATATACACACAAGTATACGTGGACGTAGAAATAATATTAAATGTAGACATTATTCATTCTGGATTATGCTACGGTAAAACCGATTGTATTCAAATATATCATAATAACACATAAATCATTGTGGTTGAATTGTTATTATGTATTACAAAGAAAATGTAATTGAATCTGTAACCAATCCACTCAGAACTTGGCATATTTCTGGGACAATAGCTCAGTCCATTACGGAAAAATAAGGTTGCCGAAAGAACCCACCGAGAAAGAACTTTGCCACATTATCTAAAGTACAGCCCAAGGTCTAAGAGCCTTAACACTTATTGCTGTATTAAATAGTTGCAGTAAGAGTTATGCGAAAAGTGTTGGGAAATATTACTGTGTTATAATAAAACAACTCCTAATAAATATTAATTTCAATAAAGGGACCACAATAACAAAAGATACTTATTCATTTTTTTCTTTTTAATGGGTGCTTAATAGGAGCTATTTTTTTATATTATTGTGCAATACTCTTCTAAATCTATTCTATTGTTATATAAATATAAGTTTAGAATTTAATTTTGTTTAAAGAATTAATAGGAAAAAAGAAAGTCTCACACGATATAAAAGTATTAAAGAAACAATTTGCATAAAATAATTTGATGTAATGAAAAATGGAGTTCTCACTACATCAGATGAAAGCACTTTTTCTTATGACGACAATAAATGATGAGACGCCCTAGTGCAGAATAATCTCCAATATCACGCTTACTTTCCTCAGTAGAAGCTGTAAGCTTAATATACTTAAATCTAGTGAGAATTTTCCCTAAACTCAAAATCCTATAATGATGTAATTTTTCAAACTACCTACTTGTTATATAATTTGATTTACATAAATAATAATAAATTTATTATTGTATTCCGTTCTAAGATTTAAGGGTTATCCCTTAAATATTAGAGTGGAAATTAAAGTAGCCATTTTGCGAACGTGGGTATTTATTGATAAATATATAAAGGGATAACGCTTGGCTCTAAACCTTTTTGTGAAAACTCGTTGTTCAAATCTCAGGAAGTGGCGCAGAATTATGCTTTACAAATTTAGAATTCTGAGAGAATACAGAATATTATACTAGTTAGGATTGTGTATGCATTGTCGGAAGTTTAACTAGTAAACATGTTACGATTTATGACATACTTATAAATCATAGAACAAAAAAATATATGATATAATACGTATTACCAGGTATTTTTTAAATAGCTTGCTAAAGTAAAAGCAAGGTGAAATATTGCCTATTGTAATATTTGTATACTATTACTGAAATTATTCCTAAATTATCGCAAATAAAATAATACTGTCTAAATACTAAAAGCAACATTATCTGTGCAATCTAATCATTAATCTAAAGTGCATAGCGCTACATATCCATCTAATGTGAATATGAATAGCTAATGGTTGTGTAGGTGCTGTGTATTGCTTGAGTAATGGATTCCTTAAAATGATGACAAAACGTTTTCTCTCAAACAATTGAATCCTAAATTTGCTTAACGATACAGCAAAAAATTATATCATGAATGAACAAAAACATAATGATATTGTAAACGTACCTGTAGAACAGATCTTCGCTATATCAAAGACACTTGACATTCAATGCCAATTTGTCAAGTTGCCAATAGGCGTGCTCAATGTATGATGACATTTCTGCTCGAACGGACGTGATGTACAGAAAACGATTTGTTCGTGAGAAGCGATATCAGTGCTGGGGATATAAGGGGCGTGGGGGATGGCTAACTGTGGGCATTAGACGAAGCTATGTGGAGACGACACATTCGCGTACTACCAAATTACTTTTGTGTACCACAGATACTGGCTTTTCGACCGTACAACCTGATTTGAGACATGACACCTAAAACTATTAATATTATAATTATAACTGAAACAGAATACTTTTGAATACTATTTCCAGCATGCCAAAGTATAAAATGGTTAAAATCTACAGGTTTTCTAAGATAACTAACGGATAAATAAATGTATTTTAAGTGGAGGTACACTTTACTCTATGCTTTTATGTTATTTCAAAGTAATGATTCCTAAATGGCCAATGAGATAAAAAATGCAAAAGGTTGTACAGCCGAGGGCCATAATTGGCGGTGCATAATCCAATAGTTTGAAGCCCACCGTCTTAACGTAGGTAACAGTATCTCCCGTAGCTTCAGTGAATGCACGTCTCAGTCGTGCTCGGCGGGTCTGCGACAGGGTTTGTGGACAGAGAAGCAGCCCCTGTAGGTTAAAAACAGGAATCAAATCAAAGTTCTAAACTTGATTTGATTTATTTAGGAAATCCCGTTTCAAGACCCCTACACAGCACTTACACCGTAACTGCAAAACGTATTGAGGATAAGACAAACATAATGAATCTGATAAGGTGTTAGCAGCTAAGTCCGAGATGACGATTAATAATGTGTAAATAGGTGTGCAGGAAAATATCAACTCTTATAAATTTGTAATTAAATAATAATGTAAATTCTTGTAATGGTATTTTTATGATTATGTATATATTAAAAATTATTGTTATCTACGTATCATAGGAAAAGCTACACTTTTTTATTGTCTATAATTGAAATTAAAATTAGATATACAAACTACAATTTCTTTATGTAAAAAATTAAACAGATTGTGCGCATTGCATTTCTAAAATTACCATTTGAACTTCAAAAAGACTACTAAGTGCCGTAATAAAAAGTAAAATTTCAAAAGCAGATATCAAACCGTTCCTTATTTCGCTGAAACATTTGGTTAAAATATTTTCATACTGCTAGAAATTTTTAAAATTAATTAAAGACTAATAGTAAACTTTCAATTATCCGTTTGTTGTTTAAATCCATATTGTTCAGATTCAGTACGCTTAGACAATTATGTAAATGTATTATTTAGTAAGCATTTCAAAAAGAGAAGATCTATTAAAAAATATATTATTATTTTATGTTTTACTCATTTTCGATTAACTAAAAGGCATGTAAGTAAGTGAAAACTATATATAAGCTAAAAATACTGTATCTCTAAGCGACATTTTTTTTTTATTTTGTACCGGATACATAATCTAAAACATTAATATATGTTATTTGAATGTTATGTCTAATAGTCAACTTAGCTAAGTGGACACAGAGTTTATTGAAAATTATACTACTTTTATCTTCTAATTTAAGACATAGTCCAGACACATATAACAATAGTCTTAGTAATTTTACTAGCCTTATCAAATAAAACTGGCCAAAATTTTCTCCATTATTTAGTTGATCAGAGCCGCTTTAACAATTATACAACTGTTTTCTTAGAGAAATTCACTTAACGCTCTAATTAGATAGCCTTTTTCAGATTGCTCGTGGAGTGTGTACTCAGCGATTGTTTTTTACAAAGCTTCACGACGGAAATTTTCTTGTTAAATCGTTTTGCTTATTAGCCTCGTTGAAGAGATTGTTTTTACTTAGAATAAAAATAAATTTTATATTAATAATTTTAATGTAACAGTCATTGTTTGTACCTATTAAGTAATACAAACAGAACTTTTTTTTATTTATTTGGTTTTACAGTTTCGACGTTTTTAACATCATGATAAATGATACTACCTATTACATTCATAAGCGCAAGGCTTTCCATACATTGAACGTTGAGCAATTTTGCGAGTACATGTAGCGCCATCTAATGGTAGCTGAACTTACCTGTTTGAAAGGTCGCATTCCTCCATTGATACGAAGAGAGTCTGCTGCGATGCCGGCTATGCCATCTCCTGGTTCCCTCAATTGACGCAATGAGGCGCTGGGGTGATGGTGGGCGTGGTGAGGACAGTGAGCCGCGCATGCGTTAGACTCCGGTTGCGAACTCTGTCGGATAATTCTAGAACTTGTTGCTGGTAGCAATAAGGCTGGGGGTTGTATTACGGGACAAGTGCTAACAGCGTGAAGTGAACTACACCCGCAAGTGTAGTGAACTGCTGAGCGAACACTTTCCCGTGAAACAGATCGCGCTAGTTGCAGCGCCGATATGGGCGCTGTGGACTGCCTTCTTTCACAAACGCGACATCTAGAGTATGTGTGTGGAACTAATTGGCAGGCGGTCACTGACCCCCTGTGAGAGCATGTCGCGACAGGCGACACAAGTGTCTGTGGGCGGTCAGCTTGGTCACGACACTGAAGTTCTATATCCGGAACACTTCTTGCAGCAGCGTCTTCTAATCTAATAGAAGCAGCACTTTCTTCACTGCCGGGGCCGCCCGAAAGTTGAGGCCGTAAATGAGTAGTACAGTCTTGTCTTTGTAATACTGGTTTAACGCTTCGATTCTCGGAAGGGACAATAACAGTCACTGATGGTCCTGATACTATGAGACTGGCAGTCTCATCGCTGCTCCCATATCCAGAGTTTGTAATAGCTTCTGTGCTATCAGTAGTCGGGGCCGACATCTTGTATAATCTGTAACAAAAAAAATACAGTCTATTAAAAAAGAAATAGACATTTTCAAACGGAATTTTTTGAAGCTGTCGTAATAAAATACGTCAAATTAATTTACCGCCGCGTAGTGCCCTAATTTACGGTTTTCTGACATCTACATTTTTTTGATGACTTTTGACATAAAAACTGCTCATTACATTCTCTAATTGATGAATAAATAATCTAATTAATAAATGACTAGGATAAATATGTAGTTGCCTTATGCAGATTGAATGTTATATGCTAAATTTCATGACAATTAGTTAAGCTGAGTTTGTTACCTAGCTTGTGTTAATCAATAAATAAACACTCTTTCACAAATTTTTAATAAAATTCTAGAAACTTATAACTTTCTGCTGATATATGTTGACTTGTCAGTCAGTTTCTTTTCTTATACCTAAATAATTAGTTATCGTAATATGTTAATGTTATACATAGAATCAATCTCATTTGATTCTAGGTATTTTCTTTTTATAAATAAAGAAATATGCCTACGTGACATTTTAGAGCACAGTGACATTTTTTCTCACCGTCCCAGCGGACTAGACTAGGATTACTGTTGCTTTCGACTAAATCTAAAGGATTTTCGAAGTTAGATGTGGCAAACGAACTGTAGGTAAAGCGAAATTTATTATGTTTTCTAAGAGACTACACGAAAATGAAGTACTCGATATAAATATAACCCTGCTCCATTGTAGTACCTATTTTTATTTGTAATAAAGAATCAATATCAGACATACTACATTTTAACACCAAATCTTGTTAAAAGTAACGTAACATATATTATTCCTATCTGATTATAATTAGAATTCATTTAAGCTAAAGATATATTAACAGGAGCATGTTTTTAATATCGTCATAATTCATAGATTTCAGATGTTCAGTTACTTTTGATTTTGTTTCTTTTAGGGTACAATTCTTTAGATTGCAAATTTTGCAAATTTTATTATATATGAATAGAATCACGCAAGGAGAGAAGCGTCTGAAATAACTAGTTTTTGTATTGGGTGTAGAGAGAGTGTAAAAACGCTTGTTTGAAGCCTTAGGATTATTCAGTGATTTTTGGATTATGCTGTGATCAATAGTAATAATGTATAACTGATTTAAAAAGAGGTTATGGTCTATTCATGTACTAAGTTTACTTCGGGATTGAAAAAAGTATATTGTGTTGACTCCTTAGTATTCATGCGACCATTTATTTAGAATTCATTCTCATTTTAATACATCATATTATTACATACTTCATTAAATGCATTATATTGTTACTAATAATCCATTTCCCCCTGGAAGAAAGAAACTAATCCATAGTATTCGGATGGATTATATATGCATATTTCTGAATTATGAAAGTTGATAAATCCTATGAAATATGTAGCGATAGAGTAATTCAGTTCTCTATACCAATCTGACAATAGATTTTACAGCATAAAATATATTCACATAAAGATTTACATTATGTTGTTATCTCCTCTTCTATGTACTTATATTTACACGTGTTCTTTAACGACCCTTTTCAAATGTATGAATATATAATCTAGCGAGACTGTTTCAAAACAGGATTTCAGTAAAAATTAAATTTCTTTTACCCACGCAAAGGAAAACGGTGTTTTATAAGCACAAGTACATTCTTATTTCAGCAAAACACCATTCTCAGGAGATGTGTTTTATACATTTAAATCTTATTCTTATAAATTGGCGGTTAGAATTTTGTTCTACAATAGCATTTTGAATATACTCGTAAATTAAATAAAAATTTCTACAAAAACTTTCACTTGCTTTAATATATTTTTAAAAACACTTGTAACATTCCACGATTAATGTTTTGTGGTGTTCTATGGTGGTGGGCTGGTGGGGAACCAGTGAGGGATAATAGATAAAGATAAAGCAGGTCAGTTGGTTCATCGTGATGAATTCATCAAAAATTAATCACGATGGTTTCCAGGGGGAACCGTGTGGCAGTCGACCTGTTAGGGTATATTGCAATAGGTCTGCTGGATCTCATTACTAACAATCCCTGTCCCCACACGATAAATGTTAGGTATACTTCATTGATTTCAGATTCGTACTTTCATATTCAAACGTGGAGCAGATTTATACCATGTGATTTATAATAATTAATATTTAAAATATTATATTGTTTGATATATAATATTATACAATTATAAGCGTGAAAATAAGATTTTTTTTTAAAACGTATTAAAAAAAATTTAACGTCACGTATTTTTAGATACACTTTTTGTTAGATTAGGAAACTCAAAATTTATTTTATTGAAAATGAGACAACGAATGTCGAACCTCATTTATAAAAATCTCTGTGCTACTTCACCATGGGAGATATTAAATAAAAAAAAGAGATATAAAAAAAATTATATTGGTACATGAAATATAGTATGACTATATTTCATGTTTTTATGATTCTATCAGATTCTAATTCGTAATGCCTAATCATACTTAGAATTTAAATCCGATTAATATATTTTTTTTAAATAATAGAAACTATTCGAGTTTCTCTAGCAAAATACATAAACAAAACAAAATAATTTTTATATTACTTCGAAAAGAATGAAAATTTAATGCGGCAGCCCTGAAAACTTTATGACACGAAAGAAATAGGATATCAATTCACTTTTCCAGCTACGACCCTTTCGAAATAACTGTAGGTTTTAAAGGACATAAAGCTAAAACTATTTCCATTATGTGTCTAGGACCGTGTCCATTCAGGATCCTCTTGAATTTTATAGTCAAAGTTATTTCAGTAATATATTACCGAACATTTCATAATAAAATATTATATAAATTTATTATAATTTGAACTTATTATTATTTTAACTTGGCTAAACAGCCTTACAAAATATTCTTTGTTTTTTTTTTTTCACAACATATTAAATTTATAACGTTCTTAATATACTGGCCAAGAATGATCTAGCTCAAATACTTTGTTAAAATATCATATTTTTTTACAGAAATCTCTATAATAACGGTGCACGGTAAAGCCACAAGACTTATGCTTTATTCTATATTCAAAATTAAAAATATTTTTATTCCAAACTCTTATGATATGTCAAATCTACCGTATATAACATGATACTGTATTTTGCTAAATATGCTAATAAAGTCATAATCTTCCAATTAAGGACCTCGGAATGATTACATTTCCCTGAGATAAGTATTTTAATATGTACGAGTATAATTGTGTTTATAAAAATTAATATATTGTTATTTGCATTATCTATATCTTACTACTTACATACTTCATAGAAAATTATTTTAAATAACACAAACAAAATAAGGTAATTAAATCTGTAACTGTTTATGAAACAGGCAACAGTTAATTGCTTGTTATGTAAACAGTAATTAAGGTTTTAATATAATTTAATTGCAAAGTATCAAATTGATGAAATGATTTGTAAATGTACTCTTTGTTTATTCTTAATAGTAAACTCCTATTACCTATTCCAAGTCTAAAGGAATTAGGAGTAATTCGTGAGTCCGTTTTAATTCTTTTATTGCAGGTATAATCTAAGAGTACAGGGTTTACTCCCTTGTTCGTTTTGTACTAATTTTCTAAAATCCGTTCTGTATCATGGACTAAAATTATAAGTTTTTAAATATATTTATTATAATAAGCCACAGTGTGGTCCCGGCGTATAATAGATGACCCCTTTCTTTCTTAACTTAATGGTCAAGTAAACGGCAGCAGCGTCTCTCTTAAAACATCATCAAAGCCAAACCGCGGTTGCCAATCCACCTGCTAAACGTAGCAACTATGGGCAAACTCCCTAAAAAGGGGAGGTCTATATTTACTAGTGAATAATAAATGACTGTTATGAAGATTATATTGAATATTTTTTTTAATGTAATAATAACAACTCATTGAATGTTATCAAAGAGTTCTTCAATTGGAATATAACTAGTCTAGACTGAATATGAAAATCGTATTTTTATACATTTCTTTATACCTATAAGATTTGATATTTTCATATTAAAATTTAGAACATAGAAATACTGTGACACATAAAAGCTTGAATCTGGAGAATTTTAAAAATTCCAATTTCCTAACTGGGTCACGAAGCTATAGACAAGAAACAGCATAGTAACAACATATTGTTCTCAAAATCTTTGTTCTTACGACTATGCACTTTAGCTTGCGTCTTGTCAAAACGCCATTGTACTCTACACTAACGTGACAAAAGTCAAACAAAGTTGCTTGTCGCGTTCCATCAAGGATCTAATGCACTTCCAAGATTACTCTTGTCGACATAAAACCGGAAAATGTCATGAGCTCAGATATACGTGAACATTTACCTACGTTCAGTATCTTAAGGGAATTCTTCAGGCTATCAAGTAGATACTTCCTTCTACTCAAGACTGTTCTGTCTGCCTTGCAATATTGCTCAATTTCCATAAACTATTAAACAATTTCCAATAATTCTGAATGATAGGTTAGTAATTTTAAAAGATCACACAATCAAGTTTTTAATACAAGGATTATTAATTTCTTTTTCTATTATGTTAATTCAAAAATATTTTGGTTATTAGTTTTGAAAATTGACAGATAATGGAGATTTTAACAGACTTTAGTGTAAGTGCTCTTAAGTCTCGTCTACTGCGGTGTGCAGCTTTGAATACATATGAATTTGAATAACATTTGTTTGAAATAAAATAAACTAGAGCAAAGATAAATAATATTTCTGAATTAATAACACCACCACCACTTCATTTACCAATATAAATTTATATATGAATATCAATATGAATATTTAATGAAATTAATTACATCGAAAAAAGTTTTTAATTATCAAGTTTATATATATATACTAATATAGTTTATATATAATCTATATCTTAAATGACATCTTTCGTTACATATAATAAAATTTTGCTAGTTTAAAAACAAATATCATGTCATCTACAGCATTTGAATAATTTGCGAATACTGAAGAAAATTTTATACGATAGTAGGTTTTCTTTTGCTTATTGGC